TATATATATATGTATATATATATGTATATATATATATATGTATATATATATGTATATATGTATATCGTGTCTGCCCCATGGTCAGGAGGAGGTCTGAGGATCTCCAGGGATTCACATCTCCTTTTTCCCCCCAAAGTCTCTGAAAAGTCTCACATTACATATCGATCAGCTCAATGATTGGCGTTGACCTGTTGTTCTGATCTTAACACCTCAAGCAGCCACTTTCACACAACCCCCGCTCCAGCACATTCCTCAAAACCCCCCTCTTTCACTCAATGCATGAAATGACAACACTCCTTGGTTCAAAACTTCCTTCAAATAAATATACTGTGACACATAATATCCATAATTAGGAGCGCTTTAAAACTTAAATTCCTCACAATTCCCCCCCTTACTCACTTTTCAAAGTGAGTATATTAAACAGTTGTATCTATCAATGCATCATCTACTCATAACTGGTTGTCCTGTATATTTGTCTCACTAAGTGTCAATTAAAGTTGACGCGTGTTTCTGGTCCTATGTACATAGCTCACACCGACACCGCTCGTAGGTGAAAGCAATATGTGATTTATTGATCCAATTTCTCTCGTACAAGTTAGTGAAACAACTTCCTGTCTTCCTAAAGGTACGCCAATTACCTCGACAAAGTTTAAGGATCCACAGGTTATCCACGAATTGTTCCACAACATAATCCACATAGCACGTTCCATATAACACGGTCGGAAAACTGTGCGGCTCCATTCTGCTCTAGATATTACTAACAACCGTAACTAACTGTCGCAAAGTGTCCTTAAAGTGATGGAAGTCTGTCACTTACGTGTATTTCATACCATAACAAATGATAACAACATCCTTGTAACATTCAAAGTAGAAACAGATGTGATTAAAGTTAAACATGTAAATATTTAAATGCAAATTGAATTTGGCTCTTACAGGACCTTCGCCCCGCTCAGAAGCCATCTTGCAAATTTGTCAGTTTTTCGCTTTTTCAAGTAAATTCATGACTTAAATCTTGGACATTCTTCATTTCGTTAGTTTGTTTTTCCCTACATTGTCCTAACACGCTGTTGTACATCTCTGTCGAACACATTTTGTTGTCTCCCTCAGTACCGTAGTGTGCTGTCCAGCCTGTGTGTGGTTCTATCATTACATCATGGTCATCGTAACGGGAGGCGTGGCAGTCCTCGCAGCTTTGGCACTCTGCTCCATCCTCATCTGGCCAATCAGGATCAGACCACGTGAGTCTCTCTGCTGATGTATTGGAGCTGTAGCTGTTCCTAATGGCTTAGTTCTGGTTCACATCTTAGCTTTCCTGTGTGTGTGTGTGTGTGTGTGTGTGTGTGTGTGTTTGTGTGTCTAGGTGGTCTGCCACTCATCTCTGAGGATGAATCCACAGTCAACTAACACCACCCTCCCCCAAATTTCCCTACAACTGACACCTCATCAGCACAACAGGGAAACAACTCTGGAGCGTTCAGCTGGAAGAACTCTCCCTTTAGTTTCTCTATAAGATTCTTCTTCTTTGGTTTTAGAGGTACCAGGGTAACTCCTGACTGACTGCTGGACTGGTGCACTTTGACCCTGATATTACAGGAGTAAACGGGGAATCCACAGGAGCTGAGAAGAGACATTGTAGTTCTAGCCATTTTCAACATAGGTCCTGTTTTCCCAAAAAATGTTTCATCTCAGTCTGGTAATTAAAATAAATCTCCAAAAAGCTGAACTGGGATAACTTGTGCTTGTGCCTCATTGTGTTGGATCAGTTAGACTCGTATTCGGGAGGCTTCTCACTCATGGATCAAATTATTATGATGTGATATTATTTCTATTTTTATTTGTTTTCTTGGTACATTGTTTTACTTAGTTACAGACCAAATGGAATATGGTTTTAAAGATTATTTTTATAATCAAATATAAAATCACTTTAAAAGGGATAAACCCTAAAATATGTGTATTCATACAATATAATGTGAGGGAATTCTACTGGTAAATGATCCGAACTGGCACTGGTGTTGAAGTCTTGTTCGACCGATGGTGCCAAAGCGCTCTGTGACCTGCGTGATAATCAGTCATCTCAGTGATAACTTTGTTTTTATTTCCTTTTTATGTCTTTGTTGCTGCGGTGACTTCTCTGATTCTCTGGTGTTTTGTGAAGAGATGCTCATTAAACAGATTTCATGAGGTGCAGCTGGAAATGTGTCCATGTTTGACTTGAATTCCTAATTGTTAGTCGTTTACTTAGCTTTAGAGGAAAGTGAAGCACATAATAACCACATGGTTGTATCGTGAGAAAGAAAAAAATTAACTAGAATTACGCCTGGTGTGCCTCAGACAATGGCGGGCCGTGCATTTTAGTAAGTGCGAAGCAGAAGGGTAGGCCTTCTTGAAGAGGTGAGTTTTCAGCCTGCGCCGAAAGATGGGCAGCGACTCTGCCGTCCTGACGTCAGTGGGGAGTTCATTCCACCACTGTGGGGCCAGGACAGAAAACAGCCGCGACCTCTGAGCGACGGGGCAACCAGTCGCCCCGAGGTAGCACAGCGAAGTGGTCGGGCCGGGGTGTAGGGCTTGACCATGACCTGGAGATAGGAAGGAGCTGTTCCTTTCACTGCCCTGTAGGCTAGCACCAGAGTCTTAAACTGGATGCGGGCTCTTACAGGTAGCAAGTGTAGAGAACGGAGAAGGCAAGTTGTGTGGGAGAACTTGGGGCGATTGAACACCAGGCGAGCTGCAGCTTTCTGGACAAGCTCCAGAGGTCTGATGGTCGACACCGGGGCTCCGGCAAGTAGTGAGTTGCAGTAGTCCAGGCGGGAGATGACAAGAGCCTGGATTAGCACCTGCGCCGTCTCATCAGTGAGGAAGGGGCGAATCCTCCTGATTTTGTAGAGCAGGAATCTGCAGGAGCGTGTAACCGATGCAATGTTTGCTGAGAATGACAGTTGGTCATCCAGGGTCACACCCAGGTTTCTCGCAGTCCGAGTTGGCGTCACCACGGTATCATCAATGGTGATGGACAGGTCTCGGTGCGGGCAACCCCTCCCCGGGAGGAACAGTAGCTCGGTTTTGTCCAGGTTGAGCTTGAGGTGGTGTGTCGTCATCCACTTCGAAATGTCGAAGCGTGCCTCCACTTGAGTGTCCCCGGGGGGAAATGAAAGACCAGCTGGGTGTCATCGGCATAACAATGGTAGGAGAAGTCATGCGAGCGAATAACAGAACCCAGAGATGTTGTGTAGAGCGAGAAGAGAAGGGGGCCCAGGACTGAGCCTTGTGGAACCCCCGTAGTCAGCATGCGTGGTTCTGACACAGAGCCCCTCCATGACACCTGGTAGGATCGACCTGTCAGGTAGGATGCAAACAGGGAGAGTGCAGAGCCTGACCACTTGTAGAGAGCTTCAGAAAGACCTGGAATGAGCAGGTACAATAGTTTCAAAGAAAACAATAAGTAATGCACTCAACCGCTGTGGCCTGTGGCTCACCACGCAAGACTCCACTGCTGAAGAAAAAGCATGTTGAAGCTCGTTTAAAGTTTTCTGCACATTTAGACAAGCCTGTGAAATACTGGGGGAATATAGTCTGGTCAGATGAGACCAAGATTGAACTCTTTGGATGCCATAATACACACCATGTTTGGAGGTCAAATGGCACTGCACATCACCCCACAAACACCATACCAACAGTGAAGTTTGGAGGTGGGAGCATCATGGTGT